AAAAAAACAAAAAAAAAAAAAAAAAAAGAAAAAAAAAAGAAAAAAGGAAAGAACTCTTAAATGAAGAGTTAAAATGTGGGGTTTCATAACCTTTTGAAAACTGACTGAAGAACTACACTGCTCCTTAGCTACCTCTAGATGCAGAGAAACCCTTCACAGACTTCCCAAGAACACTCATTAATTGAGTACCAGCATTAGGTGCCTTGTAGTTTTGGGAAATTCTACTACATTTCTGCATTTTTTTTTAACTACTACAGATTTGCCTCCAAGTGACAGAGGGTCCCATGTAGGGCTGAAGGTCCCAAGTCCTAGTTCTCAGAAGTAATTCAAGGCCCTAATTTCAGCTGCCAGTTTGGAAGCAGAAAATTAGAAGCTTCCTTGTTTAAGCTTTCAAAGGAAATTGGAGAAGTGAAAATGTGAGGTTTCTTTTTTTTCTATTTCTATTCTGAAATTTGAAACAGCTGCCACAAAATGTTTATAACCATACATAGTGCTCAATAAATGTCTAAACCTGGAAGGAACTATGCATGAATTATGTCTGATTTATACATTAAATAAAAATAGAAAGAGCCAGTTGAATTTTAAATGTTCTTCCTACATTCAGTAAGCTTGAAATTACGATGTCTATAGAATATTGCCTGCAAAAATGTCTAATGCACTGCATGTACTATATAAAAATATTTTAAAAGCATTCCAAGAGTTTATCAGATAAGGCAAATACTTGGGTCTAATTAAACCTTCTTAAATTGGCTTTTCATAGGGAGAATTCTTAGAAAAAAATTTTATTTTTAAACTCACCTCATAACATGCAGACCAAGATTAACCATAAGTTAAGGTCTGAGCTGCCAGTAATTGCTGTAAGTAACTGCACTTCGGCAGGTCAATAAACCCACCGGGCACATAACAGCCTGCAGAAATCAGATGTCAGCGGTGAGGCAGAACAACACCCTGCCTAGCCCTGGACCCTGGACATGAGTGGCAGATCCCAGGCCAGCTCTGAGAAGGCTAAATCTTCAGTTTATCTCCTTATGGGGAAATGAAGCTTGTTTGATTACAGAATCTTTCAAGAGGTGGAAGCAGTGTCATGTTATGACCCTGACCTCAGACTCTGCTTGACTGTCTCTCTGTGTCAGCCAGGAGTGCCATCCTTCCAAGGTGGGGACAAAACTGGGGACTCCAGTGTTTCTAAACATCCACTCTTCCTGCCACCACTGACTTTAAAGAACAGGCTTCATCGAGCTGAAGTGCAAGTTTCAAACTGGGTACAAATGAGTCAATAAAGTCTTACTAGAGTTTTGACTAAAATGTAATTCACCTCAGAAGATATGTGAAGTTAATGTTTGAAAAGCAGTGTCATTATGTATCTTTATTTAGGTGCAAAATACTTTGGTAGATACTTTTGCTGCTTCTTGGGAGGATTATTTTTGAACTGCAGATATTCTCCAATCACACTGATTTAACTTTGAAATGTTGGTTTTGAACTTAATCATAGAATCATAGAATGTGTTGGGTTGGAAAAGACTTTAAAGATCACCTAGTTCCAACCCCCTGCCAAGGGCAGGGACACCTCCCACTAGCCCAGGTTGCTCAAAGCCCCGTCCAGCCTGGCCTTGAACACTGCCAGGGAGGGGGCAGCCACAGCTTCTCTGGGAAACCTGTGCCAGTGTCTCACCACCCTCACAGGGAAGAATTTCTTCCTTACATCTAATCTAAACCTACCCTCTTCCAGTTTAAAACCATTACCCCTTGAAAAAGTCCCTCCCCATCTGCCCTGCAGGCCTCTTTGAAGTACGGGAAAGCCGCTATAAGATCTCCCCGGAGCCTTCTCTTCTCCAGGCTGAACAACCTCAACTCTCTCAGCCTGTCCTCATAGGTTTGATGCTCCAGTCCCCTGACCACGTTCATGGGCCTCGTCTGGACCCCCTTGAGCAGGTTCATGTCCTTCTTATGTTGGAGGCCCCAGAGCTGGACACAGCACTCCAGGTGGGGTCTCATAAGAGCAAAGTAAAAGGGGAGAATCACCTTCCTTGACCTGCTTGCCAAATCATTTGATGCAGCCCAGGATATGGTTGGCTATCTGGGCTACAAACACGCACCACTGGCTCATGTTGAGCTTCTCATCAGTCAACCCCCAAGTCTTTCTCTGCAGGGCTGCTCTTAATCCATTCTCTGTCCAGACTGTATTTGTGCTTGGGATTGCCCCGGCCCCATAATACTTGGCGTGTTTGACTCCAGGGAGGGAACATATTTAATATTTTGTCTTCCAGTTTATTACCCAGCCCACACAAACAAAGCAAAAAAAATCCATTAAAATGTAATTTTAAGAAGAGTATTCCCAGGTTTTGTTACCTAAATCACATTTTTTGCAGTTAACATGATTGTTATTAACATTTTAGACCTTGCCCCCAAGATCATCCGTGTATATCAACATTTTCTTAACCCAATTTTATGGCACAACTCTGTTAGAAAAATATTTCAGTGAAACAAAATCAAAACAAAACCTTGTGGTTTAACTCCCTAAACAACAGAGGTAGTTTAGATTTATTTCAGCCATCTCTACTGCCATTCTATGCATAATAAAAGTACTTCCCAACTGTCCTTGCACAAACACAAGCACTGTCATATTGGTCCTTCCTTGCTGTGTGCTCTGTGTGCCTCCCATCACCCTAAAATTTCATAGGTTTTACTCCCCCAAAATAAAGTAGGTGAACGCATGCCCTTAGAGGTACGCATGTATTTCCATCATATTTTCATGGAGGCAGGGAGAGAGCAGCTGGCTCCCCTACTGACCTAAAGGCAACGACAGACAGTGTGGTGCTGTGTTCCCACATGGGTACCTACCCCTTGGGCTGGGGGAGGCAGCAGGCAAGGTGCAGGGCACTGAGTCCCTCACTCCCTTGTTCCACCTCCTCCAGAAGATGGTTTGTCTTAATTTAACTAGGGCCAGCTAGATCTGGGATATCAGTTTATGCTCTCACCCCTGTAATGAGCACTTTTCAGAAGTGGCTCTGGCACCCGTGAGGGTCCATGCTCCCACAGGAATGCTCTTACTGCAGACATGCTTAAAGTCTGGAGCTGCTAGTACAACAGCCAGCAACATAACTGTCTCCCCACAGGCCATGGCCTAACTTCAGCTGTGAAGTTTATGCTCAAAGGGTAGAAGAGGGTAATTACATTGCAATGAGCAGATGAACAATCGCCGTTGCCTCAGGGAGCTAACTGAATTTTCCAGGGAAACCTACACACTAACACATCATGTTAGTGCCTCCCAGGTCAACCCCATGCCTAGGTGACCTGACAACATAGACGTAAGTTAATATGGCCATGCTAAGGCCAAGCTTCATTCGAGACATGGGCCACATATGAAGCCCACCTTCTGCGTAAGGAGCACCTGCTTCTCCTTGCTTTGAGAAGAAACGTGCGAGAATAGTAAACCCTCTCCAAACCTTCTGGGTCCTTTACAGAACTACATAAATCTGCAGTCCCACCACATGAATAACAGCTTACCACAAAACTGGGGAGAAAAGGAGCTGAAGCCATCCAATTCTAGAGCTTCAGCACAGGATAAATACAACCAGCAGGTTAAATGTTTCCCTGCTAAATCCAAGCAGCAGTAGCCAGTTGTTGGCACTGCTCCAGTGGCTTTCTGCCTGCACAATCATAACGGATATTTTACCCTTTTTCATAGTATATATTTTTCTTAAATTAAAAAGAACCCAAAACTTTTAGTAAAGCTCGCTCTAGGCCTTCCTTTGTTCCTCTGCTATCCATGGGGGTTTTGCCACTGACAACAAAAAAGGAGGACCAGAGCCTTTAATGCCCTACTTTTAAGTGTTAATACATTTACAGAAGACTGTACAAACAAGCGCCAAACAGCAATTACACATTATCAGAGCTACACAATATTTGTATATGTTGCTAAAACAATGCTGCTAAATGAAGAAGCTTTATTAGTTTAGAGTTTTTGGCTGCTGTTATTAAAAATATATTTACCTGAAAGGAAATCCAAGTATTTCATTTTACAAACAATTTAAAATATAGCAGTAAGCAACATAACTATTGCTTTTTATGTTTATACAATTTTTTTGGCATAACACTGCCATACAGTTACAGAATTATAAAAGATATCTTTATAGTGCATTACAAATCCAGAAACTGGTTACCACTCCTACCACATACATATGGTATTGGTACTACCAAACATGCACGGCATTCTGTAATTAAACACTGCAAAGGAATACAGAAAAGAGAGCAGGACCATTCATAAAAACTGACATGTAGCTGTTTCATTTTGCAAGTAAAAACTGTTGGGTTTTGTTTTTTTTTCTTTTTACTGCACTTTTTACTGAGAATACATTTTAACAATGAAATCTACAATATTTCCAAATTTTATCAGTGTAAAACTATACCTAATCATCTGTTGCTGAACTCAAAGGACAAACAACCATGGAAGAGGTTAAAACACAGAAAAAAGAGCAATTAATGATTAGCAAACATGCTTCAGTAGATCCCAAAAATAAGTGCCATAACCTTTTTTACTGTAAAACAATAATTTTCACATAGTTAGCCACAGTAGTAAATACATTCAATATATTTCACAATAAACTTTAGTTGATGAATATGCCACCAGACCTGTAAGCGTGGTAGAATTAAAAAGTGCTTAGTTCGAAGAAGAGACTTCTTTCAGAACAATTTGCCAATTCTCACATTTGCTATTTTATAGCAAACAGCTATAAATACTTCTGAAAATAAAGGTGATTATAACTGTAAAGCCACAGGAGGTTTCTATTTAATTGATCTCTATAGCTTTTGAACTGTATTTTAGGCATGTATTAAATATATTATTTAAAACAAACCCTTGCTTTCACTTAAGTAAGTATACTTAAGAACACGGGCTGTAAAAGGAACACAGCTTTCAGGAAAAGAAATAGTTCACAGGCAATACAGAGCACAGAGATATTACAGAGACACAACTTACATTCCCCTTGGAGAACTGCATCTAAATACCTGTTAGTGGTGAATCTATGGTGTTGACCACAATGTGAATGGAGGGCAGTTTTGTACATGCTTAGGCTTTTTTAATGTCCTTCGTTTTCAGGGTCCGATAGCCATCAAAACCACCTTTTGACCAGTTACTCCAATTGCAATTGGAACTGGGGACACGTATGAAAATAAGTTACCAAAATGTGCAATGAAATCATGGTTCTCAGCAATTCCCAGATAGCATTTCCATCTTCTACACGATCATGTTACACCCACTGATGCTGGTGTCTTCAAATCCAGAGGTACCTCACTCAGATGTGGGGTACGAACAGGTTTTGCCTTCGACTGATCTTGCTTTTACACTGACAGGGGAAAAAAATAAATCTATTCTGCAGTTGGAATCTGACTTTTAATACTTCATACAAAAGGATTTATGTGTAAAAATTTATTCAGAAGGACAACTAAAATAATATTGTCATCAACATAGGACAAGTTTTCTGCCTAAGCAGGCATCTTCTGCCTAAGGACAGAAACATAGTACATTTTCTGCCTAAGCAGGTATTTTATTATTAGAATCTCCCACAGCTTTCAAAAACTGACTTGGCTTACTGTTCATTTTACAGTACTTTTAGTAACTGTGTTCAAATGCACTAGCAATTCTTGAATAAACAGATCTGAGACAAACAATAGATTACTTTTTCCACACAAAATATAATTAAAACATGGAACTCACAGCCACAAGGGACTGTGGAAGCTGAAAGAAACCATGAGTTCCAAAATCGAAAAATTCCTGGAGAAAAACGGGGTCACCTTATCTGTTCTTTGTTTTACTCCGTCTGTTGGTGGCCACTGCTGGAGTCAGGATACAAGACTAGAAACATCATTGGTTCTGATCCGCACTGGTAGCTCTTAGGACAATGTACATCATTAGCATGACATTGTCAATCTGTTATTAATGGCAAAAGTTACTTCACATACTTGCATCTTATTCATAAATACAGCTTTTATAATGGAAATTCAATATAATGTTTCCTGTAAAAGTATGGCATAAAACCAGTTACATTTTCACTTAAACATATATATCTTATTATAATTTGTGATCAGTACCATCACAACTGTCACAAAAAGGTGCAAAAAAATAATTCAATTAAACAGATATACATAAATTTTATTTAAAAAAAAACATGAGTTGTTTTCCATTTAAATGTAGTAAATCTTCTTTGACTTACCTTATTGGATCATCCATCAAAATTATACAAAGCTTCTGAGGTTTGTAAACTTTCTGTTTATAGCATGGATACATGCAACTGCACATTATTAGAATTATCCTGGAATAATTCAAGGAGGCTTACACCAGTTTACATAAAATATTAACTATGATTATACAAATATGTAATACCTCAGACTGCTGCAATCTTAGAGCAGGAAATTGAGGAGCCAACCAAACCAGAGATCAGCTCTCAAAGGCTTACTGACAACATTTTTAGTATCCTTCAGGATCAGGCCTTTAAACATGAGCAATATAGGCACCAAGAGTTCAGTTCTGCTCCTAGATATGTGCACGCACGTAACTCCTCTCCTTATCTGAATGGTCTGCGGCGTGCACCTCATGTACCCAAGCTTTCAGTCTCTATGCCAACACAGCATCAGGTACCAAGGCACAGTTACATCCTGGATAGTAGGGCACAGAGCTGTAACTAAAGTGCTGCATTTTTCCATGATTTGTACTTTTACTTGCACGTGTGCACTCAGTGGCATTCTGTCAAGTTGTTCATTCATATCCCTTCACCATAGGATACTTAAAATCAAAATCACAGGTGTGTGCATATATACACTACTCCCATTTAACAGTACCAGAGGCTACTCAGATGTACTTATTAAGAAAGAATACCTGTGCTCTGTTTAATCAATAAATGAATAGGTCTGATTCTAGTAAAACACTGGGCCAAAATACATTATCATCGTAAGTACACGGAAATCCCTGAATACTTAATCATATAGCAAGACAAAAATGAGTTTAACTGTGAGCAAATGTCCTGACTTTCTTTGCACATCCTCAGTTTCTGAAGTAATGGTTAAAAACCAAAGTACTGGCATTTATGAGAATACAATCATTTCAGCATATATTGTACCATAAACCTGAAAGAAAATACTTAGAAACTTCAAGCACAGGGTGCTTCTGTTTGCTAAGGCCATGATTCTGTAATGAAATGCATACAGTACACCCACTTGATCCTCACAAATCTCAATGGGATGCTACACCGTATGATTGCCTTGCAACAAATCCTTCTTTGAAGCACTTACAAAATCAGAAGAAACAACTCCTCCATGAAAAGAATGATAAACCATTACATTTTACACACAGCAGAATTTGTTAGTTAAAGCTGAAGTGTCCCATGGGAGTAATTCTGTTGATAAAGCTGTAAGACAAGACTGCAGAGTGCAGGAGCCCACTTGACACAAAAAAAACCTCACTTACCTAATCCCCATACTTCTTTGTAGGCAACTGTCATGCCATGACTCTTCTAATTTCTATGAAAACTGATAGAAAAATACTGACTTGTATATTTTTTTAAAAATAACAATTGCGGAGTTAATAAGGATAGGAGTCCTGACTGTATTTGCAGATGCACTGGGCCCTTAATGCAAACAGCTCTGCCAGATTAAAAGGACGTTAAATACTTAATCATGAGTGGAGAACCAGCAAGGTGAAATCTGTGTCACAATAACAGAATACCATACTGCAGAGAAATCTTTTGGATGCACATTCCAAGAGCTTCCTGGTTTAAAATTAGAGCAAGATTTCTTTTTTTTTTTTTTTTTTTTTTTTTGTTCAGTACACAAAAGACAAAAGATCTCCTGAGGTCATCAATGTTCAATCAAATTACAGTACAAATATAATAACACCATTGGCATCCCTTATTTCACTTGAACACTATGCATTTTTTTTTTACAGTGTTTAACCTTAATATTAAAGTCCATAAATTGAAGGCTCTGTGTAACTATCTACCTTACAGTTATATTACTCATACACAGGGTATAAATTTCCCCTATGTCATTCAAGAAATAGCTGCGTAAAAACTCTGTTAGGTTGGCATGGTTAGGCACTCAAGACTGAAAAAGTCATAAGCAGAACATAAAGTTGTCCTCCCTGTGCATACACATGTGGTCAGAGTCCTTAACTATATGGACCAATTTTATCTCAGCCGTTCCCATCCCCTTCTGCTCTGAAGTTCAGAGGCAAACATGAACAAGGGGATTCTAATTCAAGTCCAGGGTATGGTGGAAGGATTCTCAGCACCTTTCCAGCTTTAAAGAGCTGGTGGCTGCAGGAGGAATTCTCTGGGGCATTTCTGCTCAGACTTAATGGCTCCTTGAGCAATCTGGGTTACCCTTAAAAAAAAAATCCATGTACATACATTCTTTTCCTTACAAGTCAGCACAGAAGAAGGAATACATCTCCCTTCATTCCCTGCCTCTTTAGGACAGAAAGAGCCTAGTCTTTATCCATGGGTACCAAGATCTCTAACTGTCACTTTGTTTGATCCCAACAAACAGTGCTACCTGGGGAAAGCAATGGATGATGCACTGCTGTAACAGGAATTAGTGAAACAGAAGAATAAAAGATATTTTGTCTATGTTCTGAAACCCCTGAAGACTTTGTCATTTTGAGTTATAAGTCTTGAATAAAGTCCTGTAGCACTCTGACACTCAAACTGTAGTCAGCAACTTGCCTCGTAACATTTCATCAAAAATACACTAAAGACAGTAGATAATATATAAATTTTAAAATAGAAAATACATACAGATGCTTTAGACTGTTTTAGGACTGTAGAAATTGTGAGTTCTACCTGCACTATTTTTTAATTCATATTTTAGACAACTAACTTGCTGGGTACGATCTTATTTGGCAGAATGGCATGAAGAATGGTAGAAATGGCAGAAGAGGCTACTCAGGGAAAGCACAGTCCTTCAGTGAAGAAAGCTGGGAAAGATCCTGAGTGGGGAATTCCTACCAGCTGGGCTCCAGCCAGGACAGCAGACAAGTGCCTCAGGTTTCAGCTGATGATCAAAATAATACTAAACTGTGAAAGACCTCTGATAAAGAGCAAAGAGAGGAAACAGCTGGAGGGAAGCATCAGGACTGCCTTTCTCTCCCAGATCAGCAAGAGGGGGTTCAGTATTGTGCAGACTTTACCCAAAACTGGCTAAGAAACATTCAAGTTCAGGTAAGATCCAGCTAGACAGGCCTGGTGACATTTTCTCTGATGGCTCTGATGATTATGAAGTGCTTTGTGGTGAAGACACTGACTTTCAGCTGTCCAGAGGCTCTCCAAGTGCTGAACCCAGCTGGGCGAGTTATTACAGCTGATCAACAGGGAACTTTCACACTGAGACCAAATCTGAGTGACCAAAGAGATCCCTCCCTCCAAATCAGTAGCAGTAAAAAAATGAGTTGAGAAGAGAGAACTTAACAGGGATTAAAAGAAGTCTAAAGTGCAACTTCCCTTGTACCCAAAAGCTGTGGATATAGTTTCTTTGTAAGTTTAACTTTTATTCAACGTACAATGATACCCAGCCGCATAGGACATTTTGATATCCATTAATAAGCGTCTCTGACAAGGATGCTAATCTAAGGTAGAAGATGCTGTGCAAATACTGCTGTTAAACATGAATATAGTTCCTAAAAAAAAGTGTTCACTAGGGAAAAAACTGTGCTCTTGAAAGAATTTCTAGTAATTTCATAAAAGGAAATCAACACAAAGCATATTAAAAGAAACTTAAAAATTCTGATGTTCCAAGGCTTTCTAGTAAATTACAGGTTTGTGGTTTTTTTTTTTAAATACTGGATTAATTTAACAACAAAAAAAAAATAGATAAGCTTTTCTATGCTATCTGTCTGGAAAAGATAATGGATTTCTTAGCTTTAATATACATGATTGATTTAAAGAGCAACACCTGGTTGACTGCTGATAAACTGAGGTTGAAAAAAAATAAAATTCATTAACCTAACAGAAGCCTAATCTGATGCATTCACAACAAGGATAGTCTCATGAACATTTTATACAACACTAGATGGAAATTTCACCCAAAATGAAGGAGCAATTAATAATTTGCTTCATTCAATATGAAACAATGATTTTTAACCTCAGACTCATGATTTGAGCTCATCCTTGTTTTTTGTGGTGGTCCCCCCTGAAAGAGTATCCTTGTCAAGGCTACCTTGTAGATCTGCTGACGTGTTATTTGAAGAATTCTCAGTGTCACATAAATCTTTCTCTATAGCGTCTGGATGATTTCCACAGTCATTGTTCAGGTTTTCATCATCATTTTTGGAATGAGAAGAGTCCTCCTTTCTATCTGAAGTATCATTAACTTCTTCTGATTTTGAAAGCTGACTGGTATCAGTATCACTGTTTTTTTCACTGTTGTTCTGTCTAAGAGCATCACAGTTCATTTCTTGTTCATCCTGGTCATTTTCTTCCCCACTTTTTATGAGTTCCACCTTTCTTTCTTCAGTTGTTTTACCAGCTGAGCTTCCACTTGCTGATGTGTTCTTAGGCTCTTTTGGTTTCTTATGCTTAGAAATATAACTGTTGTGAACAGAAACTGGAGATGCTGGCTTTTTATTTGTTTTGCTTCCCTCTGACTTTTGTTTTCTTGGGGGTCCCCAGATAAAATGGTCTGAGGGAGTATAATGTTGCTGGGCAAATCTCAGGAGTTTCCTCCTTTCTCTTCGGTCTCTAATAGTATACACAAAATACTCTAGAGCACTTTGCTTAATGTTGGGAATGGTATCTTCCACAAGAGCTTCATGGAGAATAAATTTTACCAGGGGAGATTTGAAACTCTCATATCCAAGCTCACCAAGACTTTTCAGAATTCGAGTGATTCTCAAGTAGTTGTGTTGAGACCTTTGGAAGAAAAGGGTGAAAAAATTCCATTGAATCAGAAAAAAACCCCACACCTTACAGATACAGAATTGGAAGCAATTCCTCACTCCTTTTTACCACTCCAGGTGTGTACTTCAGGCTTCCTATACTTTAATTTCTCACAGCTGCTGAAGCTTGCTAGCACCATCTTTGCCAGGATGTTGTGAGTGAAAATTAGTATCTGTAAAAGGCACTGAGGCAACAGGCTAAAAAAAAATAAAATTGAACCATGTACTGATTCAATTCCTTCTGCTGTATGTATTCTGTCTGAGGAGAAAAGCCAGTCACTTTTTAAAATATAGGTTTTGTAGTGTATTGCAGTAATACAGCTATAAACCAGGATTCACTGCACTTCACTTAAGGTAGACAGTTGGTTCTCCAGTCTAGACTAGCTACCTGCACTTCTGATACAGTCAGTGCTGGCAATAAAACAGGCACCTCTGGAGAACAAGTCCCACTGTCGTAAGTGTCTAAGATAAATGGAATGAACTATCTTCTGGAAGTGCTTCTGAAGAACTCTCTCCCTCATAGAGTACACCTAAGTGAACAGCAAAACTTAAATGACTAAATTTTAGATGGCTAAAATCAGGCAAAAAGATTCCTCACTTAAAAATGTGTAGCTACTCACTGGTGAGAATTTACAGCATAAAAATGCACAGTGAGTAACATTTGGGCTTCATGAAACCCTGTTTTATCTGTGGCCTGAGTTGAAGCCTACACCCATATTGGATCATGTAATATATTCATAACAAATTATTCCCATCATTCACCAAAAAATTATCCATCAGCAAATCTTCCTACAAGCTTTTATTTGGACAGGAAAACAAAATACTCTAAGAAAACAAGCTTTAGCTCTAAAGTCAGAGGTACTAGGAAATTGATCACAAGATCTGAAGAGATTTTGATACAATTGATCTGCATGGGACAAAATTCAGTACAAACTTATGCTCCACACAATGCCGTTGAAAAGCAACAGATGTAATTTGCCAAAAGTTGAGCCAAACTTTGACTTCATGTGTATCTAAAGTAACTCTCCAGTTAAGCATTGCAATTAAAAAGTATTAAATAGATAATATTTCATGTTTTGAGAAGGGAGGGAAATCTTGTTATTTAGCTTCCATACAGGTGTGGACAATTTGATTTTTCTCAAAAAAAAAAAAAAAAGAAAAAAGAGAATACAAAGATAAACCACCCATTCTTTCCAACTGAGAAGCAGGACTTTAGGATCAGGTGAAAATGTGTTCAGTAGCATGAGAAACAAATTCATTTGGAACCATGATTTTCTTCAGCTCCATCTGAAGTTGTATTTTCAAGGATTTCAGTTATGTCATATTGGTAATGTGCGAGAAGCACAATCAAAAAAAGAGAAGGGAGGAACATACCCGTACAGACACAAACCAGGCATTGACTATTTATTTTTCCCTTTTTCCTAGCAATCTTTTGAAACTGTATCTTCCCTTTCTCTAAAAAACAAAAGGCTAAAGAGATTCAATGGCAATTCTAGAGTGAAGTGCATGTCATTACTTACTCATTCAAATGTTGAAATCTTTCTTGCCAGTTAGCAGCTCGTGCTACATTTCCAGTTTTATCAATTAGTTTTATTCCAAAAAACTCCAACATCATTTTGTAAGCCAAAAGGAACCTTCTAATTGCTTCTTTTGTTTTCTTGAATTCCTAATAAACAAAGAATACATCCAAAATTCTAAGTGGCACTACAGCAAGTACTTCTGCATTGTATAAAACAACTCTACATAACAAAAAGCCGTTATGTATCAAAATTAATGTGATGGTTTGTATTGAGCTCAATTTGTATTACCTCAATTTCATATGTAGTTAATTCTTTAGCATAGAAGTTCAGACCTTGTTCCCTCAGTGGGAAAAGCCTGTTAAAAGAAAAAGTGCATTACAGCTCACAGTATATGAACACTAAATCAAATTAATGCTTTGAAACAAAAATAGGTAGTAAGTGACCAACCACTGTATGTAAGTGTGATTATGTTCCAGTTTTTCATAGTCTCCTTTCCATTTATTTAGGACTTCTTCAATATAAACCCCTGCATAAAAATAATATGAAAACTGTTATGTAGCCATCAAAACTAGCATTCAGCTGCATAAAGTACATGGCATGTTAATATAATAATAGAATACATATTTTAATTCTCTTTCACATACTATGTGAAATAAGGTCTATTACACCATAAATAAATTAATTTTAATTTAAAATTAATTTTGTTACTAAAACTTAATTAAAAATAAGAGTTTGTCAAATTTCAAGATAAACAAATCCAAATGACTTACACTGAGTTACTTACCAGCAGTAGGTATGTGACAATAACTTTTTTAAAATATACATTCCAAAAAGTTTGCAGTCCTAGATCCCTTTATCACACTGACTGGCAATTAACAAGCCACTTACAGGAAATATTGCATTGTGAATCACCTGTCATTGTTTTAACTTGACAAACTGTGCATATAGATACAGATACATATGTCATCTTAGCAGAACCTTTAAAGCCTCAACTGTTTTAAGAAATCCTCTGTTCCAGGAATCTCTCCAGCTGCAAATAACATTACAACTGGGAAATCTTTCTCAATTGGCTGTGGCCAAGAGTCTTGCTGCCATTGTTATGAGTTTGACCTTGGGTTCTCAGGTCATGCTCAACAAATGAGAATTTCAGCTGTTAGTGGTCTCAAAACGGTCACGGAATTCAGTCAGTTCCTCTTCGAAAGGCACAGTAATAGAAAAAAGGGGACAAAAATACATGTAAAAGGAAATTAATCATGCTTTGCACTGAGACCGTGCTCGTGAAATTCAGTCACGGGCCAAGGCACTCTCCCAGGCACTGCATAAATACAGAGAATATGTAAAAAGATGTTCCTTGTTACAAAACCTGTATAGTCTCTTTCCATGAATGAACACTCAGCGTTAGCCTGTTTCTACTCTGAAACCAACAGCAGTTTTACCACTGCTGCATGGCCTCTCCCAAAGTCAAACTGCATAGGAGTGGCCTAAAAAGTCCAAAGCCCCGCGTAGATAGTCTCCTATTATATATTTGAGATCTCATTCTCTCCCTGCAATGAAAACATCCACTTGGGTCTCAACAACAAAGGAGAACTTATTGAGTACTTTTCTTCAAAAAATAACCTGACTTGTTTTCTCACTTGTTGAGGATATTACCCCTATCTTGCCTATAAACAGCTCTCATATCTTCAACCCTTCTATATGTACATCTTTACATTTTAACATTCCTTCCCATCCAGCTTCCTATAAGAACTTTTGCATCACAACACCCTTTTTCCTGACCTTGAAAAGTGCCCTCTTGTCACACTTACACCCTACCATGAATGCTGCCGGTAAGATGATGTTTCTAGACTGCAGCTTTTTTCTATTATCTTATTTTGCTTTGCCCTCTTCCACTGTGAAGCCCTTTTCTGTAACATCAAACAAAAACTACACACCTTCACTTCCAAAGCATTTTGTGACCTGTCGCTTCCTATCTTATCAGAACCCATTTGTTGCTATGAGACTGATCCTGCCTCAATGGCAGCCTCCACATCTCACCTCTATACTCCACTGCGCACTTTGGCATTTCCTCTCAAGCTGCTCTCATGCCGAGAGAATCTTTCTGCAAACACCTTCAAAGTAACCTCCTCATCATTCTTTTAAAACTCTCCAAAGCTTATTTTTGGCCTGCAAACATTTCTTTGCCAATGGCTAAGCTCTCCTGTGCCAAGACTCCTGTCTAACATTCTGACCAAGACTGTTTTATTGCTGCCTCCTGCTTCCCCATCTGTCTGCTACCCTCTTGTCTCTCATACTTTGACTGCAAACTCTCTAGAGGAGGGTTTGTGATCTTTCAGCTTGTCCCGTGTTTGTGCAGAACCCTGCATATGAGGTTCCTTCTCCACTACCAGAATCACTAGGGACTTTGAGAAATTATTTTATCATTGTTATTATAATAACCTCACATAAGGTAGTTACAACACATTCTTTTTCCCTTACACAGTGCTAGGGGTAGCATCCTGATCCCCACCACTCTTACTCAAGCAGCAAGAGTTTGTGCAGTATAGTAGAACAACTGTATTTAATAAAATGTAGTGGCACTACTGTAAAATAAAACAACTCTCTGTACTACATCATTTTGGAAAATGCATGAGAAAAGCACCATGTCCCTAAAGCAAAAGCTAACTCTGGTTTAAACATAACCTGCTCCCATGTTATCAACATGCTACTCCAACATGGGAGGTTCAAGTTGTACAATATGTAACTACACACCTTTAATTTGTCTGCACCGCAATTATTACTGCGGTTTCACTTTCTTACTATTATTAGCAAGCATTTTTTTCTTATCAGTATTATTGCCACAGATTACTCACCATCAGGTTTAAACGGAATTTTATTTTTGTAAAAGCGGAGATTGCACAAGTCATTTTGATATCGAAGATCTTTAAAGTTCTGCTAAAAGAAAGGAAATAGGACATTATCAGCCAACAAAAACCTATCAACAGTATCCAGAAAGCGAGATTGCACTCTTAGAATCATTTGTGGAAGAAAAAATTCAGAGTTTTAGGAATCACAGAGCGCTACTCAAGCACTTAAAAACTCAGTTTAAGGATCTGCAAGTTCTTTCTGGCTGGTACCTTCTCCTAGAGCAGCAAGCATAGCAGCACCTTGACTTCAGTCTCAAGGAAACCAAGAGACAAATAAGAAGTCCAAACTGTACAATCTACCCTCTTCAATGGTCAAGGCACAAGCCTTTTTCTGGGTTCCTACCGCTGCCCCCAGGGTTACAAGTCTCATGCTTTTTCACGCACACCCAGGATGAAACGACTGCACTAGCTTCACTTCTCTTCCACTGGCATAGTTTGGGCCTTGGCACCAGCTTTTTCATTCTTGTTTCTCGTATTTGTTAGGCACCATAAAGGTTTAGGAATGTTTGGGTTATGTGCTGTCTTCTACTAAAAAGGCAATTTTAAACCATAAAATATTCTTACTGGATACTGATGTCGGTACTTGTATAAATCTCTTGCTGCATAGAAGCTTCTCTTTGGCTTCGCTGTCAGCTCAGTTCCATCACCACTCTGAAACATTTGGAAAGTAGATAATAACTAAATAGTGAATTTGTGTAATATTAAAAATAATTATTTTTCATGACTGATTTCAGCAATGTAAACGAACACAAGTGCATGTATTTGCCTACTGTTTGGTCAAACACTGAAAACCTCCCTGCTGAATACTTAACACCACACACCTTAAACCTAAATTAAAAAAATAAATTACAAAAGCAAGACTATGAAATGTCCTTCTAATGAGATTGAAATTGATTTAAATCAACAGGTTGATTGGCATTTCCAAATGCAAGACTTCAAAGTAACCTAACAAGTGCTAGCACAAGATTAAATAAGTAACTGAACATAAAAATGCAGAGATACTACTCATTTTGAACAGGAAATCATACTATTTGCAAAGACTATTTGTCATTTGTACATTGACTTAATTGCTATCACTGCATCCTGTGGAAGAAAATGAATAGTCATAGACAAGCCAAATTGCAGTTCTACCACCTTCTTGAACCATTTTCTATTATTTGATTCTCAGAACTTAAATTTAAAGCCCAAGAAAAACCACTAAACCCCAAAACAAAAACCTGCTTAGAGAAAATACATATGTATGAGAACTTGAACTGGACCCCTGCTGTTTGGAAGCTGTGACCTGAAACAACCAGAGCCCATCAGTGTCAATGAAAATAATTCTGACTTCAGAGAATGCTCGAAAAAACTGCACACATTGGACAAAAAATAGAAGATGAAGCGTTAGTGTAGATAGACTTCAACTTGCTACCAACAACTTACTTTGTAATTTCTTTATAACCATACTGCACAAAGAGTTTTGTATACTTCAATCTTGTAAAGTGACTCTTTACATTAAAACCAAAGGCTTTCCAGTCCTTGCAATACGGATGTAGTAGGTTAAAGTCAAGTCTAAGAAGGGAAGCCCCCTGTGACTGCACTGGGCATTTACCTTTCTTACTGCCCACTCCATTGCTTATCAATAGCACATAAATGACAAACAAGCATCCGTTTTTCATTCTTCGTTTTGCAAGACCAGCTTTGCCCATACCTACAGGCAAAACACACTTACTTGAACAAGCAACACCCCTTGGCAGTTATCAGACATTAGTATCGCCGTGTATTAAGCACAAAAGGGGAAAATGCTTACGCTTATTTCATTTTGCAGCTTCCGAACCAAATATCAAGGCAATACATCTAACAGACTAAAATAAAAGACCCAGCTGGTCCACCCTGCATTCCGATAAAATTATTGGCGAAATTTCTTTAGGGTCGGCATTTTCAAAGGTTCCTATAAGACAGAAATTTGCTCTGAAAATTCCTCGCCCCGGACCCACCGAGGAGGCACAGATCCGTTGTCACGCACGACCCAGTATTCGGATTTTTAACCCGTTTAACCGAGAGGCCAAGTTGAAAACTACGTTTCGTTTAAGGCTGAACCTTCCTTAGAAGTGGCGGCGGCGGGACCGACACCGGCTTCAAGGCCTCAATTTTCTCCCAAGAGCGGGCTACCGTGACGGCGGGGGAAGACCAAGGGAGGCAGCACTGGCCCGTCACAAGCCGCGCTGTGCCGCGGGAAGGTCCCCGCGCCGCGGTGC